TTTTTTACCTTCCTCCCTTCATTTCCAACAGCTTCCCTCTGATTTCATAGATCTGTTTCTAAAGTGAGTAAATGTAATGGGTAAGCTGCATCAACCCAAGGTATCTCAGGGCATTGTGGTCCATCTAGCTGTCCAAACAATTATTGGTAGTCACTGATTTTACTGGACAACAATTTTTTTTCCAAAAGTTTTGCTTCCTGAAATACTTTTGGTGATTATGATAGATCCCTTCAAGCTAAATATCAATATCATTTCATAATCTTGAGAAATATGGAATTGATTTTTAATGTCTATAATGTATTTAATTGCATAATATTTCTGACTTGCTGCATGTGTTGAACATGGCCAAAAATGTTTTGCTGCAAATGATTTTTGTTTGTGCTTAATGTCTGATGCATCTCACTGCAGTATCCAAAAATAGTCAGCTGGCACTGAGAGATCCAGTTGCCCTAATGCCCTTTTGCCATTGTGCCAAACTTTCACCATGTTTGTCAATAACTGCACCTAGATTTTCAGGAAAACGTCCCAAGGGTGAATGCAGAAAATGAATCTTCAGTGACATGTTCCACTTCATGATCTTGTATGCAGTAAGAAGTTAGTCAGCTCTGTGGTTGCCAAGAAAAATTTTAACAACATCCTTGAATTTTGCAACACTTAATATCCCTATGTCCAATAAAACTCCACCATGACTTTGAATCATAATTTGGTCATGTCATAACAGTGATAAAATGGATCAGTCAAATGACTGACACAATTTTACAACCATTTTTTTTGTGTGTGTGTTAGCCATGAAACAAATGCTATGATTTTGCTGAAAACCAGAAGTATTGCTTTTTGGCAAGGATGTCGTGTCACTTAGGTCACATCACCACTGTGTTGCTGAGTACCTCAAGTGTGATCATGTGGCTGCAGTTAAGAGCTACCTGTAGTGTATTAGAGACCCACATATCTGTGATTTATGAATATGATTAAGTTTCCCTTAAAAGGGAACATAATCTTAACTTGGGATTAGAAACTGAGGTTGGCAGGAGACTCAGTGTAACATTTCTTGGAATATGAAAAAAAAATCAAATGGAGGGATGCCAACTTAAATGTTCATTTGTTGGTTGGGATAGCTTAAAGAAACTCCATTCAGAATTCATAACGTTGTTTACAGTACTAATATTCCTAGTGTGGGATGCACTTTTCAGGAATTAATTATATAGTCATAAGGTGGTACTATATAATGTGAATATTGATCTACATGAGGATATTTTCACTGGGAACACAGTATGCAAAGTTGTGAAGACTGTCTCCTTTCCCTGTGAGTTCAATGTTCATTTAAAACCACAAGCCTAGAAAAACTCTCTCAGAAAGAAGAGAAAGAAAGAGGAAAAGAGGGAAAGAGAGAGAGAGAGAGAGAGAGAGAGAGGGAGGGAGGCATATAATGTATAAGTTGGTTTCAACCTGTCACACAATGAAAAGCAAAATATGCCTTGCGAATACCAGATGGTTGGATGTAATGCAGCCTCTCTGGGTGCACTCAACTCCCCTGCTTGGATTTTAACAGTCATTTTCATCCTCTGCGGCTCCAGTTGATGTTAGGTATATTGTGCCTACAGGTAGGCAGCAATTTGTCACTATCATCAGTGCTCTGTGTGCAACAGAAAGGAAACAACAAATTCATTAGATTGCAGGTCTGCAAGGTGAGGAAAAGATACTAATGCCTTTATAATGAGATGCAATGGAGCTGCTGGTGACATTTCTCAGTAGTCTGAGCTTTGGGTGTTTGTATGTACTCTTACACTGCCATTTGGGTATACAAACTGATATCATTTATATCTTAACATGTTCAGCTGGTTTCGTGTTGGAAAAAAATCCATGTACTTTAAGACCAGATCTATAGAAAGAGGAGTGGGTGATTATTAAAGGCAACACAATGGTAGCATAGGTGATGTGGACTTTTCCCCCCTCCACCTATCTCAACTTTTCCTCTTTATGGACAATTCTCAAGACATGTTTCTTCTTACCAGATTATGTGAAAATAAAAAAATGACATCAGAAGTGGGCAAATACTGTACCTGAGGCTGACCTTGTACAGATTTTGCTGGAAAGCTTCTTCCAAATCAGTATCTGAGTCCTAAGACATGAGAGTTATCTATACATGTATATGTAGGCAATGGGGTTGGAATTAATGCAGATAGTCTCAACTTATAACCAAAATTGGAACTAGAATTTCCATTGCTTATGCTTTATTAAGTGGCTCGCACCCAATCTTATGACCTTTTTTTGCCAGGGTTGTTGTTAAGCAAATCACTGCAGATGTTAAGTAAATCACATTGTTGTTAAGTGAGTCCAGTTCCCCCATTGACTTTGCCTGTCAGAAGCCATCTAAGAAGGTTGCAAATGGCTGCAAATGTTGTAAATACATGCTGGTTGCCAAGTGTCTGGATTTTGATCATGTGACTTTGAGGGTACTATGACAGGCCTAAGTGTGAAGACCATTCATAAGTCATTTATTTTTCCTGTGTAACTTTGAATGATCGCTAAATGGATAATTGTAAATTGAGGTCTACCTGTGATATAAAACTGGGAAAGCTGTTATTCTTGCTGAATCAGACTGGCCCCAATCAACTCCCTAGGAAAGAATAACCCTTGCAGTGTGCTGCAGCTGCCAAAAAGGCCAACACAGTGCTAGGCTGCATTAACAGAGGGATAGAATCAAGATCACGTGAAGTATTAATACCACTCTTCAATGCCTTGGTAAGGCCACACTTGGAATACTGCATCCAGTTTTGGTCACCGCGATGTGAAAAAGATGTTGAGACTCTAGAAAGAGTACAGAGAAGAGCAACAAAGATGATTAGGGGACTGGAGGCTAAAACATATAAGGAACGGTTGCTAGAATTGGGTATGTCTAGTTTAACGAAGAGAAGGACAAGGGGGGGACATGATAGCAGTATTCCAATATCTCAGGGGCTGCCATAAAGAAGAGGGAATTAAGCTATTTACCAAAGCACCTGAAGGCAGGACAAGAAGCAACGGGTGGAAACTAATCAAGGAGAGAAGCAACCTAGAACTAAGGAGAAACTTCCTGACAGTGAGAACAATTAATCAGTGGAATTTACTCCAGAAGCAGTAAATGCTCCAACACTGGAAGTTTTTAAGAAGAGACTGGACAGCCATTTGTCCGAAATGGTGTAGGGTTTCCTGCCTGAGCAGGGGGTTGGACTAGATGACCTCCAACGTCCCTTCCAACTTTACTACTATTACTATTACTAAGTCCACCCCCCCCCCCCGGAGACTAGTCCAATCCAGTCCCATTCCGATATCAGAGCAAATTCCTTTCCCAGAGCCGGTGTCCTTGAAGGGAGGAAGATAATTCTAGCGCCTCTGGTTCCTGTCAGTGTCCATACTCTCCAATTTCCCACAAGATTCCTTCAAACCTCCAGCACTCTTCCCCTCCCAAATGCTCCTCCCTCCTGGTTATGGCAGTTGCTAGCAAGCTTCAAAGAAGATGAAGATGGGCAGCTGACACATGCAGGCTATGTTTACCCTTTTTAATAGATCCAAGCCCAATCAAACAATTGTGCAGTCTCTCAGAAAGACTTAAATGTTGCTACTGTTCACCTAAAAATATAAAATTGTTCACTAGAGTACCTGACTATAAATCATACATTCAGCTAAAATACCAAAAAACCCTTCCCATATAAATAAATACAAGCATACAAGCATAAATCACTTGTGTTACAGGAAATCATGCTCTGTATTTTTGTTATTATGTATTTTGTAGCCTTTTTTAAACTAAATACCTGAACCTTTGATACAGATTCAATGTTATCACTTTTTAATTATATTAATACATGAGAGTTTGGCAATACAAGCATTATAGTTTGTTGACAATCAGATTCCAGAGAAAGCATCATTCATTTATGAATATTTGCTTTCTTCTAGCATATTAAAATGAGTTTTATTGCTGATTTAATAATCAAATAATATTTTGGTTTCTTTAGTAAAAATACTTCAAAAATAACTTGGAAAAGTTGAATAAGTACACTACATTTGAAATCAGCTAGACTTCTTCTGAGTATCAATATATTACAGAAAAAAGGAAGATTACATATTTTTAAGAAAGAAAACAAAATCTAGGATTTTTTTAAGCTATTGCTACAAACAAAATGTTCTCCTCGCCACAATCATAGATGATTATTTTGTGGAGATAATTGATCAACTACTGTAGTATACATGTATGAACTACATCCAGTTTCTGACATCTACAGTAGAACAAGGAAGCATTCTGAAGACATTATTGATTTATAATAAACCATCATAAGCTAAATTGGGTTTTAGAATTTAGAATGTTACAACTGCGTATCAAGAGAATAACAGCAGAACAAAAGACTTGTCCAGTGGAATTAACATATTCATTTGCAGAGGTTTGGAATGAAGAAAAAGACCTTGGTGCAAATCTTATATAGTTACCTGCAATCTTCAGCTAGTCATTCTCTTACAGCACATTGTATTTCACTGGATAGTGTGATAAAATGATGGAAGATCACCCTCCTCTACTTATTTAACTTGCTTATATGTAGTCTCAGACTAATAAAACTCCAATTCAAAATTTAAAATTCAGAAACACCAATGAAACACAGATATAAAATTTAAAATTCAGAACAAAAACAAAAAGTCTGAAACAATTAGAAGATACTACCTCCTTTTTGTAAACCATAGCTATTGTAAGAAATTTGACAACCTTAAGGTTGTTGTCCAAATAAGATCTTGTAGATGGAAGATTAGTTTCTTGGTCAGAAAGAAGGCTAAAGCTTCTGCTAATTTGGTTTATGAATGCCAGATGCCATGGGGAATTTATAGGAAGATGTATGCCCAAACATGTGTATCTGTATGTGTAGTAAGTGCATGTATCTGAAAGAAATCCATATTGTTTTATATGTGAATAGATGTTTCCACTGCAATGGGCAACTTGCATACCACCAAAGTAATGTTTCTTCTTCCCCAACTAGTGATTATGGATTTGAGCGCCACAGCAATGGCCAGTGTTTGCCAGCTTTTTGGTATAACCCATCGTCTTTGTCAAAAGACTGCAGTCTTGGTCAAAGTTATCTCAATAGCACTGGGTAAGTAGTCAAAGCTGTAAAATTTTATTTGTTAATATTATCAACTGTAATCTAATGGTATTGACCCATTACCATATTATTCCCCAGTCCATGGTTTTCTTTGTATCTTGAGTAATACTACTTAAAAATAGAAAGCTGAGTCAGGATTATTAGAAAAAATATAAAAAGTATAATTATCCTTTATTGATGACAATAATATCAGAACACTTTTCAAATTTTCCAAAATGGTGGGTTTAATCTGTTCCTCAACAAATAGAGAAGAGCCATTAAGATTTATCAGTATTGTCTATGACCCTATAAATTTCCTACCACAACACTTAGCAGGTAAAAAAAATATATTGAGTTATAAAACTGAAAGTTTATTCCTTTATCCCCTCACATTTGTGAGTTTATTTGGCCCAGCATAGTAGTGGCAAATGTTACTTGCTACTTTATTGTGATAAAATAGCACCGTATACATTTGCCAGTGCCGTTAAGTCTGATAACTGGTGTGTAGTTCTTCTGCTCAATATCAGAGCATGACATGTGGCTAAAGTTCTGTACCATGTCAATTTATATTGTTTCATGATTCATTGGTTTTAAATATCTGACACATGGCAGTGATGGTCTGGAAAAGGGAGCTGTCATTAGAAACAAGCAGCTTGTAGCTGGTTTCTTCAGGGTTTTTTGTTCTTCTTTTCACAGGTACAGGAAGGTTGTGTCTAATAACTGCACAGACGGTGTGCGTGAACAGTACACAGCTAAGCCGCAGCAGTGTCCTGGCAAAGCCCCGCGAGGACTTCGGGTTGTCACATCAGATGGCACACTGACATCAGAACAAGGGCATAATGTTACCTTCATGGTACAGCTGGAAGAGGTATGGTCTGTTTAACATGTTTCCCACTGGGGTTTCTGAGTCAGAATCATTTAGAAGAAAATGAATGGGACTGAACAGAATTAATTAACCAGTGTAATTTAACTGATTAGTGACTTGACAAATTTGAGCTGTACATCTAGTCTATTCTCCTATTATAAAAAGGGCTTGATTCTTTCCTCCGTGGCCTATCTTGTTTGCTGTTTGTACCTCTGCTCTCACTGACACTTTGAAATAAGAATATCTGGGCTAATGTTGCAGAACAAATGGCAAGATTATCATATACAGCATTCGTAAAGTATTTGTTCACAGTCTAAAAAAATCTAGATTAAAGTGGTGTTGCAGCTTTGACTATTTCAGATAATCATGTTTACTTTATTGCCACTATAGAAAAATTAAGGAAGGAAAAGGGGAAAAAAGCTTTCTTAAATGGAAGAAAGATGCCTTACAAGAAGATAGGCAAGGGATCTTATGTAGTGTCTATCAATTGAGTAGTGAAAAGTATAGGAGGAATAATCAACCAAAAATTCTTTGGACACAGATATAAATTTTAGGGTTGCTAAATATAAAGTAAAATCTGCAATGTACGGCCCCACAGCAAAATTCATACTCTTGAAGTTTTCATGGATCTCATCAGTCCTAATCTTTAACCGGTATATCATATTGTCTCTCTTATACCTTTCAATAGCATAAGGTGTATGCACGATTCAAATCTACATTGGTAAATATATTGGAGTAAAAAAAAAGAACAATGCTATAGCTGGAGCTATATGGGTGTATAAAGGAGGAAGAGGTTCCATTATTCAACTGGAAATCTTGTTTGTACAATAAATTTGCCACATGAAGGATCGTCTTTTCCAGGTTGCATCTTCCTAATTTACCAGAGCACAGAGACAGGGAATGCTATAGATCCCGTCCTAAGAAGGTACATCTAGTGGGATCAAGAAGGCACTTCTCTGTGGTGGCTCCCTCCATATGGAACATCATCCCCGTGGATATAAGATTGGCCCCATTTTTGACACTCTTCTGTGAGGCCCTAAAGATTTGTGTCCTGTCCTGGTACACACACACATACACACACACACGCACACATACACAGAGAGAGAGAGAGAGAGAGAAAGAGAGAGGGAGGGAGGGGGAGAGAGAGAGAGAGAGAGAGAGAGAGAGAGAGAGAGCGCATGAGTAGATTATGTGTGTTTATTTCACACAACCAATTCCATAGGGAAGTGCGGCCACAGTTTCCTTTATGACTAAGGCATAGGAATGGTACCATTAGGATGACAGCTCCATGATGCTCGGGGTTCAAGATTCGGCCAAGGCAAATGCAGTTTGTTCAAGGCAGAACAAAAACTACATGACTCCAGCAGGTTTTTATTTGTTTGTTTGTTTATTAAGATTTGTAGGCCACCCATCTTACCTCAAGGTAACTATGGGAACCTTATAAGTTTTAGGCACAAAGGAGGCAACTTGGCATCAATGGGTTCAAGACACATTGAAAGCAGCATGCTCTCAATGAGTTCAAGGCACAATGAAAACAACATGATTTCAGTGAGTTCAAGGGACAACAAAAGCAGCTTTACTTTGATGGGTTCAAAGGCACAACAGTGGCAACATGGCTCCAGCAGTTTCAAGGTAGCTTGGCATCAATAGGTTCACAACAGTAGATCAAGATTATGGATGAACAGATTACAAACAATTGTTTCTGACAAGCCATGGGCTCCAAAACACTGAAGTAAATAGGCATCGACTATTGCACCTCATTAGGAAGGCTCCTTGCAAATAGCCTTGCTGACCTCCATTGCACCTCCCTCTGCTCAGCTCTGCTGGGGGTGGCAACTTCTCTTCTTCTGGCCAGCTGCAGCTGCACCTCTTCTTTGGCCTGCATGGCCAATTGATCATCCACAATAAGTGGCTACAATTGTGCCGCTTCGCCTCCTTGCACAACTGGCTGATTATCCACGTGCTCTCTCCCAGAATCCTGGTGTGCCTTGCCTAGATGATCCAAATTTGCCAAAGAGCCTTCCACATACCCTGGTGCTCCCCATAGTGCCTTCTTAGATGTTCCCAGAGTTGGATCTTCCTCATTGTCCAAGCCAGGGGTTTTCAAACTTGGCACTTTTATGACGTGTGGACTTCAACTCCCAGAATTGCTCAGCCAGGCACTGCTAGAGGAATTCTGGGAGTTAAAGTCCACAAGTCATAAAAGGGCCAAGTTTGAAGACCCCTGGTCCAAGCCAAAACCTGAGTGAGCCATCACAACCTAGTTTTGTCAATGAGGTCTGGGGAGCTTGATGGAGTACATCAGGTGGTTTATTTGATTGACTGTTGTTGCCAGATGGTTGCGGGGTTATTGCTTTGTAATGTTTTTATTTTGAGGTTTTATCTTAGTAAGCTACCCTGAGTCACTGAGAGTTAGTTTGGGCAGCCATATAAATTTTCTTAAATAAATGAAATAAACTTGAGAAAAGGCAAATTAGAAGAAATATTATGAACAAGCAATAGCATTTGACATTGGTAATTTTCAAGCTCATTCTGAATACCTGAGTTTCACTGAAAGGGATATAAAATTATATGGCTGGAACTAATTTACATAGTAAAGAGGATTAGATTGTAATCCTGGATTCATTTATCAAGAAATAAACCCTATTCAAGTCAATGAGACTTAATTTTAATTAGACACATATTATTTTAATTAATGCAAGAGATTAAAAACATTCATAATCTAAATTTAATAAAACAAAATTATTCCACCAGAAAAACTTTCTGTACCATTTCTATCAACCCTGCATTTTCAGCATAAGTTAAAAAGTTAATATGTATACAGAAGATATAAAGCAAATTACAAAGAATTTCACTGTGGAAGAGAAAGAGAAGCAACATCTGCCTGATACAAAGGCCAATTAAAACTTCATTTTAAACATCTGCAAGGATAAAGAGATAACACGTTAACATAACTAAAGACTTCCAAGTAGAATGTGAGGCTTAGAATTCAACTTTATAAAATTTGAGTTGCATCTCATTGTTTTAATACTTTGATTTACATATAAACCCCGCCACTCTGTAGAAAAAGAATCATGCTTATAGCCTCTTCAGTGAGATTGAAATTGACTGTTTGAGAATATCATCCTCATTAGAATGATTAAAATTAGCAATATCATCTCTTAAGCAGCAAAATGCAGAGGATGTAATCAAAGTATAATAATGTTTGGTAAGCCTGTCAGGTTGTTATATCAGAAGAATCAGGAAAACTGGAAGATGAATACAGCTAAGTAACCATGATCATCAGGCAAATATGAAAAAAGGAGTCTTCACTAGGATTTTGCTAACAAATTTGTCAAACAAAACCTCTTTCAGACTGAATTATATTTTCGCATAGATTTTGAGAGAAAACAATGCTAAGCTTCCAGGGTTAAACAGGAACCTATTTTACTATTTTAAATATTCCAAGTGTTACACTTCACATGACTTTGATTCTTTACCTCTATTAATGCAGCCTATGGTTGCATTGTCTTTTCTGGTAGCTGCAACACACTGCTGGTTCATATTTAAGCGGTTATCTACTAGGACTCCTTTTGCGTGAAGGCAGATAGAAAGAATTAATTAAGCAGCTCTGCTTTCTTCCTGCTGCCCATCACTTCCTTGTCATCTTTTCCCATTAGTAAACCAATTGTTTCCTTGACCTTTTTCTTGTTTTTTACATGTTTAAAAAAACCTTTTTAAAATTATTTTTGACCTTTGCTGCAAGTCTTAGTTTTGAGCCTTAGCTTTCCTCACTTCATCTTTGCAGATTCTAGCTATATCCTGGTATTCTGCTTCAGATATATGTCCCTCTTTCCATTTTTTTGTAATTATCCATTTTGTTTTTCAATTTTTCAGAGCTCTTTATGCAACACTTATTTGACCCTTGATCAAATAAATTGTATATGCAGACTGATTTTCTCAAGTCTATATTATTTGCTCAAGATAAGGCAATTTCAATAATATACTGCTCAAAAAAATAAAATGAACACATCCTATAGGATTTCTTATAGGATGTGTTCCCTTTATTTTTTTGAGCAGTATACATAAAACAAAAGACACTTCCATATGCATGGTTTCCCTTCTTTAATAAAAAGCATTTTGAAGTCAGCTAAGCAATTGTCTTCATTCCTGCTAGCCTCAGAACATAGAGAACAGGCCAGGAACAGCTGATATAACTAGTATTTCTGCAAAGCCAAAAGTAGTCCACAGAAAAAACCACAAAAATGATATTCAGTACCCCAGCTTCTAAATTATGACAACTCATGAAATACAAAGCCCCTTATCATTCCTTCTGCATATAAATTCCTATTGGAAGCAGTGGAGGTAGGCTGACATGAAAATTTAGTAGCCAGGTGATTTCTTCAGAAGCTGCACTCAGGCATGTAGGCATAAATCTAGTATAAGCTGTTTGTCCAAAGAGAGAAAATTAAGAGGAATGTAACAGGCACAGGGGAGGTGGTAGGTTGGACTCTCAGACTCTCACAGTCTAAATCCTCAACTCTCCCATAACTCTGGAAGATCCTGTATGATGATGTGGCTAGCAGCCATTTTATCCCAAGGAAATCTTATTTAGCTCAAATTTACTCAAGAAGAAGCTACTTCCATAGCTAGCTGACAGTGTACATGGTCAGGCTAAAGTGCTTTCCAGAATAAGTATCACTGATTAATTGAAAATTCAAGTATAAAGTTAAAGAATAGAAAGTGAGGCAAAGGGAAGAGAATATCTCTGAAGAAATTAAATTTACAACACAAAGACACAAATGCATACAAAATGAACTCACAATTCTTCATTGTATAGTCCATAAAATAAAATCAATATTCTAATGTGCATTCCATTTTCCACTATGCTTCAAATTGCTCTACAATATCCTAATTTCTAAACCATGTTTTTGTTGCTGGAAGCTTTTTGTCTTACCTGGGTTTTCAGACAGTTCGGAGAAAAAAACACCAAGAAGAACAAAGGAGAATACATAGAGATCTAC